GCAATACCATTACAAAATTTCAGAATGCAATTATATTGACAACATCCAACAAAAACGAATCAAAATAACAAGCCCAAACACTAAAACTTGAGGCCACATTGCATCAAACACCTAGTTAGCATCTCTAACGTCTTCCATAAATTAAAAATCCTCAACTCAAACAACAAGAGTTACCTCCCGATAGAGGCCATGCCGCTCCAGGGGAAACTTGTCAATCGGTTTGGGTTCAACCTTGTCCCCACGGCCCCTCATCCACCTTCCAGTAGATCTATGTCGTTTGCGGGGCCAGAATCTGCCACCTTACTCTGTCTCTTCAAGCCAATATGTACTCTTCCGCAGAGTCAGAGGCACAAAACCTCAGTTTTGAAAAACAAAAATCCTTTTAGCTATTTGTGTGAGTATTACAACATTTTATTTCATTTTTTATAACTCGAATATCCTTTTCCTGATTAGCATAACAAAATCATGGTAGAACCTCACTGAGGATACACAAAACCTCAATTTTACGTTGTTGTGGACTATAACTCGGCTCACCCGCCACAGAAAAGCTCATATTCCGACAATTGGCTCAAGCAGCGCAATAAACACTAAGGAATGAGGCACTGCAAAATAACAAATCCAGACAAGAGATATTTTCATTAGTAAGTCGCTATAGGTTAACATTATAAGATGCTTTAAAACACCTCTGACAAGCAAAAAACTTACTTAAATGACAATTAATGACTATCATCTTCAAAAGGCAAAAATAATTTTATCAATTGTAATGCATGATACCAAGTCGGGGGAAGAAATATCAATACGACCAGCTCACTTGTGAGCTAACTGAACTTATAGAGGCAAATGAGTAGTTGTGGCTGTGAACATCAATAAAAATCGGGTAAAATTAAAAATCACCATAACCATTTGGTTTTAGTAGCCAGGACATCAATCAAAATCAAAGTGAACTATCAATGTCAATAACTCATAAACAAATTACCATGTCAACTTTTATTTTTTTCTACAAAAAAAAAGATCTTAAGCCCAAAACTCAAACAACACTATCTGCCATGAACTCTCTATATTCATATCAGTATAAACATGTAACATACACTCACACACCGCACAAGGATAAACCTATCTGCCAAGTTCCAACTTTATTTGTTCTCTTTAAGGACAAAGCCAATAATAATAAAAAAAAATTAAATATAAGTTTGCAGCTAACTTTGCTTATAGTAGCATCTCTTAAAACATAATATAAATATGATTCCTAATTTCACGTGTAAGAAAACATTTCTCATTTTATCCTTCTTGTATGTGAACATATATAAATTGGTTGCTAATGCTTACAAAATAACCAAGAGCATGAGAAGCCAAAACAATCTCCTTGGAAGCACATTTCTTAAAAGAATTGAGGCATCTGTATAGGAAAGTTGCAAAACTAAAACAAAGAAGAAAAAAATCATTTCAAAGTCAATAAATTCATGTTGACTTAGAATTAATCGATTCTTCATTTTTTCAATTAAAGAACGCTTACCTAAGAAAACTCTTGGTTTTTTTACCTCTATGTAGAATATAAGGCTCCAGCGGCATCTGTAACTGGCGACATCCATAATCATGACCAAGATGCGGCCAGAGGAAACCGAAAATAAAAAGGAAAAGTTCAGAAAAAAACAAAGAAAACAAAAACAAACGCATACCGCTCGATGAAGTCTATGATGTCATCGTTGTAGCCACGAAACTACCAGAATTTGGTCGCCTTTGTTGAGTAAAGAAAATGCCCACAACCCCCAGAAATCCCCTAAATTCTTTCAAAATCAACTGGTGCTTAATTTTTCAAAGCTCCAAAATTATCAAGATTTCAATACAAGTCTTAGTGTCAAAAGGAAAACATGAGAATATAGCAAAATCAAAGGGTCTGATACAAAAACTATACCAAAACAAACTACACAATGCAAAAATTACAACATAAACGGTCACAATACAAGGACCTAACCAATCCTCGAGCTTTACCTGAAAACTAAATTGGAGTAATACATGGTACAATTCAATGATCTATTCATAAAATCAATAATTTCTAAATTTATACAATAGTTTACATTTTTTCCTTATTTTTAAATCAAAATAATTTGGTTGATATAGAAGCTGACGTTAAATTGGCAGGTGCACAAGTCATTGTGGGTTTTTCTCTCGATGGATCTTATTCTTGCATCGAGCCATACCTACAGCATAAAAAGTGACCGATGAACAAGAAAAAGCGGACAACATGCTGTGTGGAGAAAAAAAAAAGAACTTTGAATAAAGATGTTTGACATGCTTAAAAGAGTGGCAGAAGTTTGATTCAATCACATTCCTAGTTATAAAGAAAGAAAGAGAAGCAAAAGAATGCATTAGTGGGACTTACAGGCAGGGTATTTGTGTGATTTTCAGAGGTGTGAGCAGTTGAAAGCACAGAAACGTCGATTCCAAATCTTAGAAATGAGGTGCAGTCAGAGAAGGGGACCTCCCTTGACCTTACACGGAGGTTTGGCATGGGAATGACCTCTATCTATCACCTCTCCATCATCAACAACATGTGCCGTGATGCTTCCATCAATAATGTATAAACGTTCCACAGGCTGATAATGCCCATCGGAAAACTATTTATCTTTTCCATAAATCACTTGCTTTTATTACTCACCACAAAGAAGATATTTATACGCACAAGAAAAACAAATTGTACATACCCGATAAGAACTCCATCGGAGCTACTATTGTCGTCGTCCACGGACGTACCTTCATCAGCCCAACCATCGCCGCTCGTCAACTACCGGGGATCGGTCGATCGGTCGTCAGCATCTATGTACACACGCCGTCGATTGGAAAAACAAAGTGCGAAAATTGGGGTGAATTTTTTGGGATAAAAAAAAAAAGAATAAAGAAGGAAAGAGAGAACGGAAGATGATAAAATTGGAGGGGCAAACCTTTCTTCTTAATCTATTTCAATCAGCAGAAAAATAAGAAAAACGAAATCGTACACACCTGATAAGAACTCCATCGGAGCTACTGTTGCCGTCGTCCACAAACGCACCTTCATCAGCCCAACCACCGCCGCTCGTCAACAACCGGGGCTTGGTTATTTCTTATTATATTACTCATTGCATTTGCAGGTTCATTGCAGAACTAAATGAGATTTGGCTCATGAAGTTGTGGATGAGGCTGGACACTGGAAAAAGAATCTTAGCACTCAATATGTAGAGCTTTTTGATTTTCTGCCCACTGTAATCCAAGAACAATAGTTGCTCTCGAGAGATCCTCATGGAAATGTCCAGGTTGAGTATTTTCTATCCGAGCTTAAGCTTCTAGGACTCTTAATTGCGGTCATGTTTTGCATGGTTTTGATGTTATATTTTTTTTCTGAATTTCAATTTTTTGTAAATTTACAGAGTGACGCGCATTTTTTCTTTCTTTCATTCTCAGCTTTCTTGTTTTCCTTTTTTATTTTATTGGTTAATCAAGCCAAACCCCAAAAAACCAACATTTGTGTATTTTCCTAAACTAAATATTAAAGTGGGAACACAAAACATACCTATTGAGCAGCATCCTCAGTAAACCGAGCATCAAAAGGGGCATTCGAGCTGAGATGTCCCGAGCCGTCTCCAGCTCCCGACCCTTGCTGCAATTCGATCACCAGACACCTAACGGCTTTGCTCATCTGCTCCAAACGGACGGCACTAATGGGCGGGAGACCACTCGAGCTGGGCTGGCCCAGCTTATTAGTGATAGGGCCCGTGGCCTCGTCGACAAGACACTCAGACCCTATTCTCTGCTTGACGGACTCGACAAATTCCTCGGCTTGATCACACGCAACTCGAAACAGCTCCCAACGTTGCTTGAAGTTTTCGAGGACAGCATCGGTGGCCGGAGTCTTCTGCCCGCCGGAAGTTTCTTTTGCCTCTAAGGTGCTGGCGGCTGCCAATATGATCTCTTGATATGCGCTGTTCAAGGATTCAACTATGTTGTCTATGTGTGACTACTGCAAATTACACAAAACTAAAAGATAAATCAGGAAGAAAAAAAAAATAATAAAACAAATTCCACAATTTCACCGAAGCAATTAACCATCCAATGATTTCAATAATAAAAAATTAACTAGAGTTTCCCTAATCCTTTAGCTCTCAAGCTACCATTACAATGAAAAAAAAAAACTTACTTCACAAGGTATTAGGGATTACATTTAGGTGATTGGGGCTAGACGATAAGGAAGTGGGCCTATGAACTAACCTCTTTGGAGCTTTTACTGTGACACTGAGTTCGTCGTGACGGCTGCGGATGTTGGGGTATCACAACAAGCGCAGCGGACAAAAATACCCCTCCAACAAATATGGCAAGTACTACTCCAAAATAAGCCAACACAAATAAAAGACGAGAAATAAAAAGAATACAAAAATTGATAACGGAGTTCGGCGAAAATAGCCTACGTCTCCGGGCACCGCCAACCGCAACGCCAAATTTACTAAACTCACCAACAAAATACAACTAGGGTTAAATAACCCACAAAATAGGATTTCCTTCTAAATAGGAGAGAATAGAATAAGGTGCAATTGTAACCCAAAGGCAAGGGACCTATTTATACTAATAAGATCCTACACATCTTTGGTATACATCCGATGTGGGACAACAATTAATCAAAAAACTAACAATTCTCCACCTTGACTAATTTTGCTCCCACTTCCAACTCAACTGCTAGCGGTGCCTCCAAATGCGCCTCTCGACGCCAACTCAAATATGCAGAATGTTGGTCAAGTCTAAACAATGTTCAAACTTGACTGCTGTCACTACCTTGGTCATCATATCTGCAGGATTCTCCGTCGTCTTGATCTTCTTCAACACAACGGTTCCATCTTCTAGAATCTCCCGCACAAAGTGATAGCGAACATCAATATGCTTCGTTCTTGCATGAAATACTTGATTTTTCGCTAAGTGAATAGCGCTCTGACTGTCACAATGCACTAAGACGTGCTTTTGACCAACTCCCAAGTCTTCAAGCAAACTTTGAAGCCAAATAGCCTCCTTCACAGCTTCAGTAACCGCCATATACTCTGCCTCTGTTGTAGACAAAGCAACTGTTGACTGTAAGGTAGACTTCCAACTGACTGGACCTTTTGCAAAAGTGAACAAATATCCAGTCGTTGATCTTCGCTTATCCAAATCACCCGCGTAGTCAGAATCACAATATCCAACTACACACTGACCAAATTCATTCTGCTCATAAACCAATCCAACGTCTACAGTACTATGAATGTAACGTAGAATCCATTTCACAGCTTGCCAATGACCTTTCCCAGGGTCATGCATATACCTGCTAACAACACCAACTGCTTGTGAAATGTCGGGCCTTGTACACACCATCGCATACATCAAACTGCCAACTGCATTTGCATATGGGACTCTAGTCATGTACTCTCGTTCTTCATCCCAATTTGGCCGTCTGCCGACGGGAGATGCGTAAGAGATTCCTGTTCTGAAAAATTAGTGTAAATTTTTTGGAAGAAAGAAAAAATAAAAAAAAAAAGAAAGAAGGAAGGAAAGAGATGATAAATTTGATCAGCAAAGGGAAAGGTGGCTTTCACTTTCTTTGACTGAGCGATTGTTGCGCGTGTATGTGGAATGATTTGTTGTGAAGTGATAGGTCGGTCATCGATTAAAAAAAAAAAGTGATAAGTCGGTTGCATTTGTGTTATTTATTTAATTGACCACAATAACTTTTAAAATACACTAAAAATGGGACACGTGTCGAGCAGCAAAGTAGACGAAAACGGACACGTGTCGAGCAGCGAGATGACCTTACTTTTCCTTATAAGATATAAGAGAGATATCCCATATCATAAATAATATTATATGTTAATATATTCATATATGTAATATCAACACACTATTTAAATGAAACTTAATTTGGGACAAAAATAGTAAGGTAAAGCGGGTGCCATAAAAGGGGTGCTTAATTTAGGCTATGTTTGGTAAAACTAGCTGATAAACTAGCTGATAGCTTATAAGCTAGTTTATAATTTATATGTAATTTTCGAGCTTATAGCTTATAACTTATGACTTACAACTGCTGAAAAACTAGCTGATATGATAAAAGTGTTTGATATAATTAGCTGATAAGCTAGCTGGAATAAAAAATTCAACTAGTTTATTTAAAAAGCTACCTAAACAAGCTTATCAAATAAGCTCGAGTTTTTTAAATAAATTCGTCCTACCAAACGGGGCTTATTTAAACACAGGAAGCTTACAAGCTAACCAAATAAGTTATAAGCTAACTTATTTGGTTTACCAAACATAATCGGGATAGACACACCTAATCGGCCCGCTTTAACAGGACTTGAACGACCCGTTTCATTTTGTTGTAGGCGAAGAGGCTTTTAGTGACATATTAAGCCAGTTGGAGGGGGTAATAGCAATTTTTCTATTGGCACCTTTAGCAAACGCAGGGCCGCTTGCGAACACACAGAAAAATTCTTGGTATTTTGCTTCATTTTTCATCGATTGTGTTGGTGATATTTTTTATTCGTTTAGCTTCCTGTTTTTCTACAGTCGATTCTGAAAAACCTTATCTTGCCAATTAACAGACAGGCAAATCGGGTGTTTCATTCTGGGAAACAGCACAAGAATCATGATTATTATCGAGAAATAGAGATGTAAGAACAGCTATCGGATGCTTAAATTAACTATAATCTGAGGTTGTTTTTCGCATTTCAAACAAAAAATCGTATGAGAAACCCTTTTGATGTCTTGGTGTGCGCCTTTTGGGGGGGTTTTCAGGGCATTTTATTAAGGTATTTTAAGATTGAGTCGATGAAGGTTCGAGGGCTGTTGGCGGCCACATCTGTTGGCTCCGCGCGAGGAATTTCCACTTGCTCGTGTTTATTTGTGAGAATCAAGCAAACAGGTGCCGATTTTGTATACTGCAGATATTTGCTATTTTGCTGCAATTTTATTCCATTTTATCTGGAGATGTGTATCTGCATTTTTTTTGCAGTGTTTTGGGGATCATGTCTTGCCTATTCTATTTCAGTATTTCAGATATTCTTACCAAATGTAAATTATGTAAAAATTATGTAATGAGATGAGGACTTGGGATTGCACAAAATCAACTACTTCTCATTTGTGCAGAAAATGAAATTGTTCAAATGTTCCGTTTGGGAGCTCCGAAAGACGACGAGCCCAACTTCAGAAACCATCTTTCAACAAGGAGAACTCCTTCCTCGAGAACGCTGGACGAGCGGTTCATAAGAATCTTGAAGATATTTAAGTGGGGTCCAGATTCCGAGAAGGCTCTGGACGTATTGAAACTAAAAGTCGATCACAGATTGGTTCGTGAGGTCTTGCAGGTTGACGTGGAAATCAACGTGAAGCTTCAGTTCTTCAAATGGGCCGGGAAGAGAAGGAATTTCGAGCACGATTGCTCGACCTACATGGCCTTAATTCACTGCCTCGACCAATCAGGCCTTCCAGGCGGGATGTGGAAGGTAATCCAAGAAATGATCAGAGGCCCATGTGCAATTGACCCGGCTCATCTCTCGGAGATCGTAAAACTATTGGGCAGGGCCAAGATGGTGAACAGAGCCCTCTCGGTCTTCTACCAAGTCAAGAACCGAAAATGCATTCCAACAGCTGGCACGTACAACTCCATAATCATGATGCTCATGCAAGAAGGCCATCACGAGAAAGTTCACGAACTGTATAACGAGATGTGTAGCGAAGGTAACTGTTTTCCCGATACCGTAACTTACAGTGCCCTCATATCAGCATTCGCGAAATTGGGCCGTGACGAGTCAGCAATTAGGCTGTTTGAGGAAATGAAAGACAATGGTTTGTTCCCCACAGCAAAAATATACACAACTCTGTTGGGTATTTTCTTTAAACTAGGTCAGGTCGAGAGGGCCATGGGTTTAGTGAGAGAGATGAAAGATAAAGGCTGCGCACCTACTGTATATACATACACGGAGCTGATAAGAGGGCTCGGCTTGGCTGGGAGGGTCGAAGAAGGTTATTCGGTTTTCTTGAAAATGCTCGACGAAGGCTGTGAGCCAGATGTGGTCCTCATAAACAACGTGGTTAATTTACTGAGCCGTGGGGGTCGTCTGGCCGACGCTATCAAGCTTTTCGAAAAAATGGAGTCTTTGAGGTGTATGCCGAACGTCGTGACTTACAACACCATCATTAAGGCCCTGTTTGGGTCGAGGGCTCCGATATCTGAAATCTTGGCTTGGTATGAGAAAATGAAAGCCAATGGCGTTGATCCCAGCTCTTACACTTACTCGATTCTCATAGACGGGTTTTGCAAGAAAAATAATTTGGAAAAAGCTTTGCTTATGCTAGAGGAGATGGATGAAAAGGGGTTTCCCCCTTGCCCGGCCGCCTACTGCAGCTTGATCAACGCATTGGGGCAGGCCAAAAGGTACGATGCGGCCCACGAGCTGTTTCAGGAGCTGAGGGAAAACTGTGGGCCCTCGAGCGCTCGTGTGTATGCAGTCATGATCAAGCATTTTGGGAGGTGTGGGCGGATGAAAGAGGCAGTCCAGCTCTTTGATGAGATGAAAAGACTGAATTGCCCTCCTGACGTGTACGCCTACAACGCGCTCATGTCGGGGATGGTGAGAGCAGGCCTGACTGATGAGGCCCGGTCCTTGCTACGGGCCATGGAGGGGGAAGGGTGTTGTCCGGACCTCAACTCGTACAATATTATCCTCAATGGGTTGGCTCGGACGGGTGGGCCCGGGAGGGCGGTGGAGATGTTTGAGGAGATGAAGAGATCGGAGATGAAGCCGGATGTCGTGTCTTACAACACGGTCTTGGGCTGCCTTAGCCGGGCAGGGATGTTTGAGGAAGCTGCGAAGCTGATGAAGGAGATGAATTCGGTCGGGTTTGAGTATGACAGGATAACTTACTCTTCGATACTTGAGGCGGTTGGTAAAGTCGATCAGGATTGTAGAATTGTGGATTCGGGAACTGGGAATGTGTTTTTTTATTATTAGTTTAGGGATTCGGAGTTTCTTGTAGTCTTGAGTTTTTACTGCGCTGATGGACTCTCGTTGTTGGTTGGTGGCAAACTGAGCATTGTATGATAAGAAAGGTGGTGCTTTTTGAGTATGTGTTGCACAAAATTGTAAACAGAAAGCGTGCAACTTGAGGTGAGAGGTAGTTTAGTAGTTGTTGGTTGTGGTAGCTAAACTCTTCTACAACATGGATAACACCAAAGATCAAACAAACCTTTTCTTTTCATTTTTCACTTGTATTTTCTTGCGTTTTCCTACTTTGATTTATGCCTTGATGGCGTCTGGAGAAGTACCACATTTGTAGTAAAATTACCCTCAATTCAAAGAGGGAACTCATTCCAGAAGCAGTTATAAGTTATAACTGGGTGTTTGTCTACGACTGTACCACCAAACAAAGCCCAGCCCAGGAGATGTGAATAAGAGGAAATAGAAGCAATGGAATGACACAAAGTCGTTGTAGTATAGTGGTGAGTATTTCCGCCTGTCACGCGGACGACCCGGGTTCGATCCCCGGCAACGGCGTTTAATTTTTGGATATTTTTTTTCTGTAGTGATTAGTTTCTAATTTCTTAGCTGGCAATTAAATTAAATTAAATTAAATAAATGTAATATTGTCAGCTTGACAAATCACACCCGTTATCTTGTTACGTCACAGAGTTCGAACATGCATTTTTTTTTTTTTTTTTTTTCAGTGGGCCACGACCAGTAAATGAGATTTTAAATTCAGATTCATCGTGTACCGTCAAAATAAAAATTGACCCACAAGTGTTATGGGCATATCTGCATTACATGGAATATTATAAGTTAGCAAATATATAATACACGTAATTTAATTTAAAAAATATAATACGAAAATAAATTTAAAAATAAACAGATAAATTCTATTTCTTTAATTTTCAACTTCTTACAAAATTGCATTAATGGTTTTATTTGAAACTAAGATGGGTGTCCCGAAATCCTCATACTACAAGAATCTTGATGAAATTCCAATGGAAAATTACAACGAAAATATATTTCAATAGAATTCCAACGGTAGTTCAAATGGATATTTCAATGTTATTATTTCCATTGAAATTTTTCAGTAGATTCCAACGGAAATTCCAACAAAACTATGATGTTTAAATGAGTTATCCATTAAAGTTTCCATTGAATTTTGACGATTCCAATTAGCTAAAGACGCAATGACCCTAGAAATTGAAAAGCAATTACCTAAAGAAGCAAGTTTTAATTAAAGACCCAAACTTTACACAAACCGAAGTCTTAGAAACTCAAAACAAGCTAAAAATAAAGAGAAGCGAGCTACGCCTAACATAACTAGAAGCTAAAGTCGAACATCCAATTACGAAATAAATGACCTTATAACAAAGTCTCGGTCTTTACCTTGAAATATTCAACTTTTAACCAACTAATCGCACTAGACGAGCAAGACAAAATGAAATCTAGAAATTTCTAAAACCGAGTCAATCTACACGAACTCCGACCAAGATGCTATTTTCACCTCAAACCAGATAGTAAGCAAAAATAGAGAAAATATGAGATAATAAGTTCTAAACTAGGATATTTTTCTATTGCATGACCGGACGAAATAGACGCGAAATGTTCAAAACTTTACTAAAAATGACATTGCTGGAAATTCGTCGAATAACTCAAGTCTTGAAGCTCCAATCATTAACTGGAGAGAGAAATAATGAGAGAAAAATAGCTAATTTCTTAACTAAAAAGTTGGGAATGAAGAAGTGTGTTCAAAAATAAAAAAGCATGCAACAAGACTATTTATAGTTACACAAAAAACATAATGATCCACACTTACTGAGAAGGGCCACACTCGCGACCTAGTTTGCGGGGGAGTGTACGGGGAGGCGTCATCAGGTCTCTCGGCTGTTTACGGATCGACTCAACAACGAAAACTATAGGGAATGATTCTCTCGGAAAATCTTTATTATTTGTCGAGTTATATATATATAGGTTTTAAATTGAAAATCTCTTAGTGCACGAGGAAAGTTGCTTTTAGCTCGAGTTATGCGATAGAGCTCTTGTGGTCGCGTTGCGTGCTCGATCTCTCGGCCGCTTGTGGGTTGTCTTGACAACGGCCGCCAACATTGATTTTTTGGCGGGTTATATATGTAGTTTGCCGAGGAAAACGTCAGGGTGCACGGGTCTGGGCACGAGACCTAGGCCTTTTCAGCAACTACTCGTCGTCCAACGGAAAACTCAACTCTTCAGAATGCAATTTTCCTACAAAATAAAGTATAAAAAGAGAAATAAAAAGTACAAGAGACATCAAAACGACGCGAATACACAAAAAATGAACAAAAGCGACTAAATAGATTGGGAAGAACCTAAAATAAACTAAAAAAAATACAAATAGAACACTTAAAAACACATAAAATAACAACAAAAACATGCAAAAAAAAGACGTGAAAAGAAATAAAAGAGTCGTCACACGACTTTGGTTTAACAAAACAAAGGAAAACATGCAACACAAATAACATAACTTCAAGCTTGCATGGGCTATGATCACCATCTTCATCATCATGCATTTTCCCCATCTTCAACAATTATATTGTTTTGATGGGAATGGAGTGAGCATTATTGTCAATATTTTTTTTATACAACAAAATATGTTTTTTCATGTTGTAATTTAGTTAGTATCTTTGACCTAGAAAATTTAGCAATAAATAGTATACTAATCACGCTGAATATATACTTTCGTTAATGTAAATATTGATTTTGGGTAGCAAAACTTATGAATTTGGCATAAAATTATTGGTGAACGTCGTGGTTGCCTGTAATAAATTTAGTAACGCTTGTTAAGAAATGTGTTTGTCCCACATCGCTCGACGATCATTACTTACAAGGTGTGGCTAGCTACAAATACCGAACAATCTTTGTCGTCGAAAATGCCAATCTCCATCAGCGAGTGCCCCTCATTGGTCTCTCGATTAGTTTTATGCTTCAGCCTTTATTTATTTTCATGTTCTTCAATGATTTGTTCCATTTTTGTATGAGAATTATTCTTCAATTTCCGTCTCTTTTTTCTTCAATTTCCATTTTATGTAGCAGAATGATCCAATATCATATGCTTCGAGATGATGTTTACCAGGAAGACTGACATGAAAGTCATTAGTTTCTGATTAAATCCTTAATAGTATCCTAATATAAAGAGTTTAAGAATTCAATCAGAAACTAATGACTTCCATGTCCGGTCTCACTGGTCAAGATCCCATATGAAGTAATGAAATAAGTGCCACTTATCGTATTTCCATTCAGACGATCAATTTTTCCAGATGCTAAGGTGAAGTGGAGTTATAATACGAGTCAATGCATGCATCCTCTCTGAATACGCTTCAACAAGGCAACCTAGCTCTTGTTCGTTAACAAGTAGAGCATTTTAAGATTTTATGCATCAAATTTCACATAGCAATATATCCAATTAACAATGACGAATACTCGATCGTGTCGCCTAGCATGTCATGAGCTTCAAATGTGCCCGCAATATTGCTCGTTAGCATATTCATGATCGTGTCGCCTAGCATGTCATGAGCTTCAAATGTGCCCGCAATATTGCTCGTTAGCATATTCATGGCGATGAATTTTAATCTTCATCAGTAGGCACTGAAGAATGAAAAACAGAATGTATACTATAAAATGGATGTACTATAAACTATTTTCTATTAAAAAATTAGTACAGTAATCCTTTTGAAAATATTAATTAATGATATTTTTTGTGTGTACTCTCATTGTAGGTGTGAAATTTTATTAATTGGAACAATTTTTGACTGATAAATGATAATTAAATCTATACTACTTTAAAAGGAGGAGTGTTTTTGTAAAAATTCATAATGCCTAAAAAACTCTTACTTTAACATAAATTTAATGGCAAATTAATAATACACTAATACACATTATATTTTATTTATATTTTTAATTAAAAAATGAACTACCTAAAAAACTCTTACTTTCACATGTTTTTAATGGCAAATTGGTAATATAATAATACCATCATATCTTATATCCTCCCTATATATAATTAAAAAAATATAACTTTTCTCAATTCAACATAAGAAAATCAATGAAAATAATATATTTTTAAAAAAATTATGAACAAAAATTGACTCGACAATATTTAGTAATACACTAATACACCATATTTTATTTATATTTTTAATTAAAAACTGAACTACTTAAAAACCCTTACTTTCACATGTTTTTAATGGCAAATTGGTAATATACTAATGTCATCATATCTTATATCCTCCCTATATATAATTAAAAAAACATCTTTTCTCAATTCAACATAAGCAAATCAATGAAAATAATATATTTTTAAAAATTTTATGAACAAAAGTTGACTCGACAATATTATTAATGAATTTATGAATTATAAATATTTAATTAAAATATTAATTAAAAAAATTGTAATTATATATAATATAATATAGAATATACAAATATTTGATATATAATGAGGCTGATGATCGAAAAAATTCTATACTTTACATTATGTCTTTTTTTGACAAATCTACAGTTAAGAACATGTGAAATAACAAGATAAAGTTTTAAAAAAATATTAAATATATAAAATAATATGAATAATAACTAAGTTGTGACACGTACTAATAAATATAAAACAAACTAATAAACAAAAATAATATAATTAATATAACTAAATATAAACCTTCTAAAAATATACTTATCGATGTAATCGAACTGAGTTGTTAAACGCTTGTTAGTTTTTTGTTCTTATTAATTTTATGTATAAATTTGAGGTGATAGACAATAGTTATTTATACATTTATACATGTAGATTAGAAAAAAAAAATCTTTATTATTCTAATTTTAAATAACTTTTTTATTTACTATATTATTTTTTTAATATAATATATAAGTATCATATTGAACAGATAAAATAAGAAATATTTTAATTATATAATATTTAATATGTAAGAAATGTAACTCAATTTGGTAAATTAATAGGT